TAAATTCTTCATTTGATGCAGTTCTCTATTTGAATTAATGAGTACTTAATTTTAGCAAATGAGTTTTTATTTGATTCAGTTTTCAATTACCCACCAATAGTTCTTCTGATTCAGTTCTTATTTTCATCTCAACACATCTTCCTTTGATTCAGCCTTTTGTTTGATTTAACATAATCTTCATTTGATTCAGTTCCTAATTTAAATTGATTTCGTGCTTCTTTTTTAATAAATCTCTTTTCACAAACAGAAGTAGAAAAATTTTATTTAAAGAATTAATGTAGCTAGACGCAATTTAATCTAGTTTAAGAGTATGGAAATTAAACTTATTTATGCTACTCAACTAATGATAATTTATGATTAAGTATTTTCATGTTTAATCAGTTCCAGATAATAAATAAATTAATAAAATAAAAAATTTTAAATTTTTACCTCGGAAATTAAATGATCTTTTATTATAATACTTTTATTATCATACTTTTATTATTATTTTTAGAATTAAAATATGCCGGTTTAAAATANCAGTTTTGCAATATTTTCCGTACTCTAAGAAGGAAATTTTAAAGTACTATAATATATACTTTTGAATAAGTTAAACATAGTAGAATCGTTAACATAGTTTAAAAAGAATAGTTTAAAAATTGTTATTTTTCAAAATATAGTTAAGCTTAAAAGGAGTTTGCGGTGATTTGAAAATAGTAATGCTCTAATAATTTTATTGCTGGTGGAATTCTAAACTAAAAAAGTTTAATATAAAGCATAGTATAAAACAAAATTTTTAATATAATAATAGTGATAGTAGTAATAATATTTTCTGAATAGTATATATGTATACATTTATTCCTAATGTAAATAATTTATATTTCGTAATTTAAATTTAAGTTCCCATTAAATAAATTAATTTAAATTTGAACTAATTAGATTCATTCAGTTCTCATTATGAATGAATAAGTTTTTCATTTGATTCTGTTCTTGAATTAGATTAACGAGTTTTTTTCATTTCAATTAACGAATTTCATTTAATTCAATTACTAAGCTCTTTTTTAATTTCAGTTCTTAATTTTAAATAATAAACTCTTCGTTAGTAATAATAAATAATAATAATAAATAATAATTTAAATACTAAATAATATTTAAATACTAAATAATAAATTTTTATTGAATTAACAACATCTTTATTTGATTCAGTTCAAATAAAAGAGTTTTTCATTTGATTCAGTTCTTAATTACTCACCAACAGTTTCTCTTTTGATTCAGTTCTTATTTCCATGTCAGCAGTTTTTCCTTGGTTGAGTTTTTGATTTGATTTATCGAGTTCTTCAATTTATTCAGTTCTTAATTTAAATTAATCTCGTGACCCTTTTTAATCTGTCTCTTGTCATAAGCAAAGGCAGAGAAATTCATTTTAATTCAGAAGTTTTTTCACGTAATTTAGTATAGTTTCAGTGTATGAAAACTTATTTATGATACTCAACTAATAATAATTTATAAATAAGTATTTTTTGTTAATCAGTTCCAATTAATAAAAAAAATAAATATGAACTTTAAATTAATATCTAAGAAATTGACTGATTTTTTATAATAATACCCTTTATTATTTATAATAATATTTTCTTAATAATAAGTATAAATTTATTGTTTATGTAATTAATTTAAGTTTTTTAATTTAAATTTAAGCTTCAATAAACTAAATTAAATTTGAATTAATCAGGTTCACTCAGTTTTTAATATGAATTAATGAGTTATTTTTTTAATTCAGTTCTTAATTTAAATTAACGAGGTCTTCATTTGAACTAATAAATTCTTCATTTGATGCAGTTCGCACTTTGAAATAATGAGTTCTTCATTTGATTCAATTTAAACAAATGAGTTTTAATTTGATTCAATTTTAATTACCTACCAACAGTTCTTCCTTTGATTCAGTTCTTATTTTCATCTCAACACTTCCTCCTTTGATTCAGCTTTTTGTTTGATTTAACGAAACCTTCATTTGATTCAGTTCTTAATTTAAATTGATTTCGTTCTTCTTTTTTGATAAATCTTTTTTCACAAACAGAAGCAGAAAAATTATATTTAAAAAAATGAGTTTAGCTAAATGTAATTTAATATAGTTTAAGAGTATGGAAATTAAACTTATTTATGTTACTCAACTAATAATAATATGTGATTGAGTATTTTCATGCCTAGTCAGTTCCAATTAATAAATAAATTAATGAATTAAATTAAAACTTTTAAATTTTTACTTGGAGAATTAACTGATTTTTTTAAAATTATAAATGCGTTTATTATTATTTTTAGAATTAAAATATGTCGTCTTAAAATAGATATTGACTTCTGCCATTTTCGTGATAAATGTTACATATTCCTCTTCCTCAAATTCTTTATTATATTGATTTAACTATCTTATTAGCTTTGTCTTGAAATATACTTGGCTAAGTTCTCTGTATATGTCTCTTTGAAGAAGAACTAATTGGCAACAGAGGAAAAAACAAGCTATCTATTGGAAATTGTGTCTTTCTTTATCAAACAGTATTACAATAAAAGAAAATATTGATTCGATGTTCTTTTAGAATATCGAACCATTATTTTCTTTTTCAGTGTATTTTTTTATGCTCTTTACTGGGTTGAATCTTGCTAAAACTTCACTCCAGTTTAACAATTTTTTTAGTTTAATATTTAATAATTTACATTCAAATAATAATTATTCTGAAGATATATTTAGTTTTTATTATTATTTTATTGACCAAATATGGTTTAAATGCTCAAATAAAATAATTGACATTATACTTTTTTTATAAAATGATGCGTATGTTACCACTATGTAGGCCCTTAGATAAGCAATTAAAGATCTTTTGTCGATGCGTTAAATAATTAATTAGTTATCATAACTTTTATTTTTATTTCCTACCACGATAACCATTTTTTAAAAATAAGTTAGGTAACTATTTCATTTTATTATTGTTGTTTCTTTCTTGTTTGTAACTTTTGTAAAACACAAAAAAAATTTCAGAATAAACTACTCGAATAAGAGTTTTCTTAACTTTGTGATAGTTTCTAAAATAAATAAGATAGCCCCGAGTTGTATTATTTACTTTTCCCAGGAAAAAAATTGCAGTTAAAAGAATACAAAATGAATGAAGATAGTCTCATTAACTTTGATACATGATAGCTCCGAAAAGAAATAAGATAGCTAAGTTTTAGTGATGAGATCGATCACGTTTTAATGCTGCAGGGAAAAAATAAATTTTTAAATATACTATTTGAATCGGAATTATATTACTAGCTTTGATAAAGTGATAACTCTTGAAAGAAATAAGATAGCCAAGTTTTATTGATGACGCGTTTAAACAATTATTTTTACCTACTTTGATATGAGATGATTCCTAAAATAAATAAGATAATCAAGTTTTATTGCTAAGGTTTGTCACTTTTTGATGCTGCAGAGAAAAAAATGTGCAATTAGAAATATACAATTTGAAACAGAGTGATCTTATGATACGAGATGATTCCTAAAAGGAATAAGTAAGTCAAGTCCTGCTGCTAAGGTTCGTCACGTATTGATGCTTCAGGAAAAATATATGTTTGAAATATACCGTTTGAATCAGAATTTTACCAACTTTGATATGAGATGATTCCTAAAAGAAATAAGGTAATCAAGTTTTATTGCTAAGGTTTGTCACTTTTTGATGCTGCAGAGAAAAGAATGTGCAATTAGAAATATACAGTTTGAATCAGAATGATCTTATGATACGAGATGATTCCTAGAAGAAATAAGTAAGTCAATTCTTGCTGCAAAGGTTCGTCACGTATTTATGCTTCAGGGAAAATATATGTTTGAAATATACCATTTGAATCAGAATTTTACCAACTTTGATATGGGATGATTCCTAAAAGAAATAAGATAATCAAGTTATATTGCTAGGGTTTGTCACTTTTTGATGCTGCAGAGAAAAAAATGTGCAATTAGAAATATACAGTTTGAATCAGAGTGATCTTATGATACGAGATGATTCCTAAGGAAATTAGTAAGTCAAGTCTTGCTGCTAAGGTTCGTCACGTATTTATGCTTCAGGGAAAATATATGCTTAAAATATACCATTTGAATCAGAATTTTACCAACTTTGATATGAGATGATTCCTAAAAGAAATAAGATAATCAAGTTTTATTGCTAAGGTTTGTCACTTTTTGATGCTGCAGAGAAAAAAATGTGCAATTAGAAATATACAGTTTGAATCAGAGTGATCTTATGATACGAGATGATTCCTAGAAGAAATAAGTAAGTCAATTCTTGCTGCTAAGGTTCGTCACGTATTTATGCTTCAGGGAAAATATATGTTTAAAATATACCGTTTGAAACAGAATTTTACCAACTTTGATATGAGATGATTCCTAAAAGAAATAAGATAATCAAGTTTTATTGCTAAGGTTTGTCACTTTTTGATGCTGCAGAGATAAATATGTGCAATTAGAAATATACAGTTTGAATCAGAGTGATCTTATGATACGAGATGATTCCTAAAAGGAATAAGTAAGTCAAGTCTTGCTGCTAAAGTTCTTCACGTATTGATGCTTCAGGGAAAATATATGTTTAAAATATACTGTTTGAATCAGAATTTTACCAACTTTGATATGAGATGATTCCTAAAAGAAATAAGATAATCAAGATTTATTGCTAAGGTTCGTCAGGTATGGATGTTCTGATATTTTATGGTGGAATGTTCTTGTATACTGCGAGTAGCGTAGTCTAAAGCACTTTTGACACCCTATTAGGTTGCTTTAAGGTTTCTCGATATTTTGGTTGTCACTCCAAAACTTCAAATAGCATAATTGAAAACGTTTTCAACGTTGGCAACATATTGCGTTGCTGCAAGTTTACTTGATATTGTGGTGCAACGTGCTCCACAACTTCTTATTAAAAAAAACTCTCTTTTTCACTCTAAATGTTTATTGAAGATTTTTTTAAGCGCGACATCTCATGCTGTTTTTGTTTTTATCTTTTTAGGTTTTATGAAAGAATCATGAGTGAATCAAGGAAACGACTTACACCACGAATGCAAAAAAAAATTTCGAATTTCGAATAAATAAGGATCGAATATTATTCCGATAATACGGTAAGTCATTTAAATTATAAAGATAAATTTTATGACAGCCTTTTAGTTATAATTTTTCCGAGTTTAAATTATTATTCGAAGCAATTTCTTTTAAAGCAACATTTTTTACATTCATTTGCATTCAAAAATCCATCAGTGAAAAAATTAGGTATTAAACGAAGAAGTCATATAATATACAGAGAAATAAATTTTCGTTCCATAGTATTAAAAATACAATAGTACAGTGCGTCACATAAAATGGACCACCTTGAATACATTTTGATATAAGATTGGGTCTTCACATTCTAGGACTCAATCTTAATGGTTTGAGGGAGTGATTTTAAATATGGCAATTAATTAGTTCAGACGATATTTTAAGTTAAGAAATCAGACACAAAAATGTACTTTCTCTGAATAAGCATACCTTTTTTTCAATGGATTTGGATTTTCGACCTCCAAGATATAGGGGGTGGTCCTAATCCGGGAAATAAGGTCTCCATAGTTTGGTCAGGAGAACAGTTCAAAGCTTAGCCCCCTGAATGCTAATTTCCCTTTTTGCTTATCTCGCCGTATCTCGAGAGCATTTTAAGTAAAATGAAGAAATTTTGCACATGATTGTAAAATTAGTTTATTTAAAGATAATTTCAGGCAAGAAATAGGTTTTAGTCAGCATTTATTATTTTTTATTATTTAATAATAGTGAAACAATTTTTGAATTGTAAGGTACACAATTTTTTAAGCCATTTTAAAGCATCTAATTTTACATGGGAAAATACAAATTCTGTGTAAAATCGTTTGAATAGTTCCTGAGAAATCGAATGTTCGTATGTTAATAATTCAATTCATCAGGAACAATTCAACCGATTTCTTTCAAATTTTGCATTCTGCCATGTGAAATTAGATATTTTAAAAGGATGTAAAAAAGTTTTACACCTTACAGTTCAAAAATTGTTTGACTATTATTAAATTAAATGATAAAAAATTAACTTATGAATACTTACTGAATTTTACTTTTTTCATGGAATTATTTTAATAAACGGATTTTATAATTGTGTGCAAAAACTTTTCACCTTACTTAAACAGTTTTCGAGATAAGGCGAAATACCCACAATTAAAATTAACATTCAGGGGGCTAAACTTTAGACTGCCTAATTAATTATCACATTTGAAGTCACCCCTTCGAACCATTAAGATGGTGTCCTAGAAAGTGAAGATCCAATTATAAAATCAAAAGATATTCAAGTGGTCCGTTTTTTTTAGTATTGTTCTTTGAAAAATTAGACAGACACTAAAATTACATGTATAAAATTTTGGAGCTTCTTGTTCAGCAATATTTCGTTCGAATTTGTTGCAAACTTACTATACTACTAAGTTGAGCCATACTATGACACTTCCTAAACTTAATTACATTATTGTTCCTTAACAAATACATTTGAAAATGTATTACCTATATTTCATAATTGCTAGAATAGTTTAAATACTTTCAAGTAACAAAAAAAAAACTTCTCTAAACAAATATATATGAAAATATTTCTCCCATGTTACGTTTCGTGGAAATATTAGAAACCCATCCAAACAAATGCATGTAAAACGTTATAACTTACATAACGAAATCACTAGGTTGTTTGAAATATTTTTAACTAACAGCAATCCATTAATTAGAAGCATTAAATTAATAAATAACTCAGTCTAAGGTTTTCTTCATTAAGTACATTAAAGAGAATTATCTTTTAAGAAAATAAAAGCGTTATGTGTAAGCTTACAAAGCCTGAAGAAAAGAAGACAAATTTATTCAGCTGTCAAACGGCTGAAGTGTTAATACTCATAGTGAGTAATGATTAGTTGACTGTCTTATTTATAGAAAACAAAAAAACTCGGCCAAGTAGAAATTCTTGTAACATCCGCAAGTGTGGTAACTCTTTCTGCCCAATGTTGTAGGAAGAGGTTCATCAACTCACCTTGTTACCTTGTGAGAAGTTCAACGCCTTCACCTTGATTTGAATTTGCGCTTTTACCCTAATAAGCGCCAATGGAGTTGAGAAGTAACAATGAAATAAATCGTTTGGTAAATAAGATTTCGATTTTTTTTTTCATAAGTATCGTAGAAAGAAAAAGTGTTTTCTTCTTTTTTTTTTGTTGCTGTTCAGGGAGAAAATAGAGTGCATGGGAAAACATTTCGTACTCCTAATATTAAAATATATATAATAATATTATTTTGTATAAGATATATTGAATGTGCTGTAACGAGATAGTATTTTGTAAATGCTATTTTTTTTCATTTACTCGAAACTTTCTATTTCAGACTGGGGCACTTTGTACATGCTTTATATATTACATTTTTATATTACATTTTTATATTATATTTTTATTTATATTTTATGCTATATTTTTGCAAGTAACTTGTACATGATTTTGTTGACAGATATATTGTTCGGATATTGCTGTTCGGATGATATCGTGTATATTGAGAGATATTCTGTTACATTTTTTTTAAGGGAATTGTTTCTGAGTAAGATTTGTCTGAGGTTTTTTTTTTAATTTTTTTTTTTTTTTTTTATTTTNTTTATTATTTTTTTTTTTTAAACGAGTGACTTTTGTCCGCGTATTGTGTTGCTCTCATGTTTTCGAATAAATGAGAAACATTCTATATACACGGATTTGTGTTACGTTTCGCTTTACTGAAATGTCCCCTTGTAAGATTTTATTTGCTCGATATTTGAATGGAAGAATTTGTCTTTGGATACCTTAGTTCGCATGATATTGTAGAATTTATAGATATTCTTGGCAGTATTTATGTTACGGTTTGTTTTATCAAAATGTCCCCATGCAAGATTTCATTTTCTTCGAAATTTTGTCTTCGCATAGTTTTGTTCTCCTGATATTATAAAATTGCAAGATACTTTGTATACGCAGTATTTATGATACGGTTTATTTTATCGAACTGCCCCCATGTAAAATTTTGTTTGTTAGATATTTTAAGGAGAGATTTTGTCCTAGGATACTTTTGTTTAAATAATATTGAAGAATTGATTGATGTTCGTAAAGGTAGTATTTATTTTACAGTTTATTTTATCAAAATGTTGCTATGTAAGTATTTGTTAGCTCTATATATTAAAGCGAGATTTGTGTTCGGATACTTTTTTTCAGTATTGTGGGATTAAAAGATATTCGTATAGGCAATATTTATATTAAGGTTTGTTTTATCAAAATGCCCCCATGTAATATTTTGTTTGTTAGATATTTTAACGAAAGATTTTGTGGCCGGATACTTTTGCTCGCATAATATTTTAGAATTGAGATATTTGTATAGGCAATATTTATGTTAAGGACTGTTTTATCAAAATGCCCCCATATAATATTTTGTTTGCTCGATATTTTAATGCGAGATTTTATGTCCGTATACTTTTAACCGCATAATATTGTAAAATTGACAGATATTTTTCATACATGGTATGAATACTACATTTTGTTTGTGTGAGATCTTATATTGTGCATTGATTTTCTTGCGGATATCATCGTTTAGATGCTATTTTAGTATTCTCTATATGTAGTATTAATACTAAATTTAATAGACAAACTTTTCTCGTGCAATATTTTGTTTGTTTATTTTCGTTCGTATTTCGGTGATTTAAATTAAAAATTTTGTTCAAACAATTTATTAAAATGTAATGCATACTTTGAAACTTTCAAATTAAAATCAAGAATGGCGTAAAATATTTTGTAAAAAGCATGGAATAAAAAACAGTTTATCATTTTGGAATGGAGTTGAAAAATCATTCATTCAGTTTATAATTATAATCCAGCTAATAAATGATGTTATTACCATAGGATATATTGTCTCAATCCATTTTAGCTGCCCCAATCTGTTCTAAGGAAATCGTTCATAAATAACATTGCTTCAGTCTTATTCAAGTCATCCTAGTTATGATTTTAAGTTCTAATATGCTGCAGAATATTAATAACGAAGTTTGTTGCACTTGTAGTAATCGATAAAAATTAAATAAAAAAACTTCAACTTCTTTCGAATAATTGCTTTATTTCTTATTAAAATTCCAAGTAAAATAAAGTTATTGTTCTAAACGGTTCCAAAAATATTAAACTTACGCTTTAAACTACTCAAAAATTGCAAAATTGATTTGACTAAGGTCTCTAAATCAATAAAATTTTTGTCGCTGCAGGCTGGTTTACACAAGAATACAGTCTTTAAGCATGCTTTTTTTATTTTAAAGAAAAAATAAGCTTCGTATTCCTTAGTGTTAGGATTTCATTTCTGTTTTTCAAATATAATCATTTTATAAAATTTAAAAACTCTTTTGTAAGAATTATTAATGCAATTGCACAAGATAATTAACCGAAGAAGGGATTTAATAGTTAACTCAATTTATAAAAACACGCTGAAACAATCTTTTTTGTGTATGGAATTAAATTTATACTGTTTTTATTTGAAAGTCGAAAGAAAGAAAAACGAGTGTAAATACTTGAAAAAAATATGTTTACGTGTTTTTTTATTTTTTTTATAGTTGGAATAATGAATTAAGTCACTTATTTTTTCCGCCTTTAAACAAGAAACATAACAGAATTTGAATACAAGTTAAATAAACCAAGAGATGTTATATTTAATGCGATTTTGTTAGTGAAAAGAGCTTTATTTGTGGGAAAAGTTTCATTTGAGACGCTCGTTTATGCAACATCTTTAACTTATTTTCTTTCTTTATTCAAAACTTCCCTTCAAACTCGTCTTGGGATTTCACATTCTTAAGTTTTAAAAAAAATAAGGGGAAAAAAACTAGGATATTATTAAGATTAGCAACAAAGTTAAGAACTGAAATATACATTTTTTTTTCTTTATCATTCCCAAATGAACACAGCGCTTATTTAGTCGATCTATGCAACCTCTTCTTTTTTTTTGTAAAAGTTAGGTTTGAATTTTAAATGAAAGTTCTATCAATAAATGTGAAACAGACGATTTCAATTTTGAATTCTTCGCAAGCAAATTAAAAATGTTCTCTTTGTTCTTTATT